TACACACACACAAATATATATATATATATATATATATATATATATATCTGTTAGTTCCTTAAATAAGGTACAAATGTCAAATAATGCGTGCAAATGTGTACTCGTAAAAAAAAAGAAGATATGATCTGTGAATACATTGTCCATCTTGAACAACTTATATTTTTCCTCTTACATTTTTTGTTTTACTTTTAATAAAAAATAAAAGAAAAAGAAAAAAGGAAAAGAAAAACAGGAAAAGATACGACTCGTTACAATTGCGCAAATTAGAAGATATTGTTTTCAATATATCGGATGAATTAATCATTTCTTTTATATATATATATATATATATATATATATATATTTTTTTTTTTTTTTTTTTAATTCATCATGACACCAGGAATTATTTTATATAAAGAAGGAAAAAAAGAGAAATAGATCGTGGGGTTCCGTTTAAAAAGAATACCATGGATGACCTTGAAATCGATGGAAAGAAAAAATAAATAAATAAAAGAAAAGGAAAAAAAAAAGAGAGAGATAAAGAGAAATAAACTCGATGGATATCTATTTCTACGATTATTTGAAATTATTTAAAATTTTTAAGAAAGTAAATTTTATATATGAATCGTGAATATGATTTTCTGAATTTGTATTAAACGTTAAATCGTTAAATCGTTAATTATGAATCGCAAATTACGAACGTCAATAATAAATAATACGTTTTGTGGTCGTTTCCAATATAATCTACACTTTAAGAAGTTGATAGACCATCTTGAAAAATTGTCAGAAAGTTCATTAACTTTCTTAATTAACTCCCTTGGATGTTTAGTTTTCTCATTTTATCTGCTTTTCTTTCTTTCTCTAATCTTCTACTCTCTTTCCCACTCTCTCTCTCTCTCTCTCTCTCTCTTTCTCTCTCTCTCTCTCACATACACACATACACACACACACACACACACATTTGCACACAAACATATATACACAAACACACACAGATAGACAGAATCTCGTAAACGTTGAACGCTTATAAGCACCCACGCTGTTGGAGAATTATCAGAGGGATTTGTGCCTTCGTCGGAGAATCATTATGAGATAAATTAATATCCGCAGGCGAAGGGGTATTAAGAAGGACGGGCTTCAAATTCCATTCGATCCATTATTCTCTCTCTCTTTCTCTCTTTCTCCTCTCTCGCTTTCTCTCTCGTCTTTTTATTCCGTATTCGCTATTCCCTACTTCCTATTTTCTCTTTTCTTTATTCTCTCTCTTTCTTTCTTCTTCTCTCTCTCTCTTTTTTTTTCTCAATACTGGCCAATACAACGAATATTAAGACCAAAGGAATGTTCATTCCTCCTGTTCGCCATGTTTCTGGAATGAGGTACGTGCATTATTACTGGAATATCTATTCTAGCACCTTATATATATATATATATATATATATATATATATATATATATATATATATATAGAATATATATATATATATATATATATATGTATGTATGTATGTGCGTGTATATTCATGTATGTAGTATGTATATACTATGATTTAAGGTATATATGTCATATGTACGTATATGTGTGTGGGTGCGTGTGTGTGTGCATGCGTGTGTGCACATACACACATATACTTCTCCATACGATTCTTTGAATCATTCTAGAAAATTGTTTCCTGACTTTCGAATAATCCTATGGATTTGTTCTTTCTTCCTTTCTTCTAATATTTTTTCTTTTTTTATTTCTCTTTTTCTTCCATTATTTATTTATTTACATATTTTACTTTTTCGAAGTTTCGACTTATTAGAAAATATTCTTCCTTTATTCTCCCCAATTATTTACAATCAATTGTATTTTTTTTTCTTTTATATATATATATGTATATATATAAATTTTTTTTTCTCTATTTTATTATTTATTTTTTTGTATTTTTTTTTTTTATTATAACTCTTTTTTAATCTCCTTCAGATTACCGATATCATATCGTATCGTATCGTATCGTCTCATTAATATTCCTTTATTGCAAACTTTTGATTTATTCAAACCTTTTTTCTTTTTCTCTCTGCTTTTTTATATTAAACGATCGATAATTAGATAATAAATTTAAAGGAAAAAAAGAAGAGGAGAAAAAAGAAGAATGAAAAAATGTCAATTAGCGGAGTAAATTATTTTACAAAAAAAAAAGATTATATATATATTAAACGTCTATAGAAAATAATGTACATACATATGCAATGTGAAGTATTAATAACAAATAATATCTTGATGTGTAATAATATTTTAATCTTGATTTTTAAAATCAGTTTAGAAAATTTGTTGACTCGTATAGAAATTTTTACCACACTTAAGAACTCTTAAAATACTCGCTTTATTTTTTCTAATGTAAAATTCAATATATATATGTATATCTATGATGTCTATGTATATATTATCACAATATTATTGTATAATATTTTTTGTACATATATATAGTATATATATATACATACATTATATATATACATATATGAACATATATGTATATTT